ATGCCAGAGTGATCGAGGACAAAGACGATGCTACTTCACCACCCCCTCCTTCAGCACGCTTCGACACTACTCCAAGTTCTTCTGCATCGCCGAACACCACCGACGACCCTGCTGCTTCACCTACTCTTCATGGGAACGAGTAGATGCTCTATGTCTTCAAACCTTTTTGGTCCTTACTAACAAAAGGGGGAGAAGCATATGAGTTTGATAGTCTTCAAGCGGGTCCACATGGGCGGTTGCTTTATATTTTGCCTAGTGTTTACAACTCTCGTTTTGATACATTTGGTTCTTTGAGTTGTAACACCTAAACTCGATGGTCGTCTGCTACTTATTTGCCTCTTTGCGATGCGATGATAAATTCCGCATGTGCGATGATAAATTCCGCACTTAGATCATTTTGCAGATGTCCATTTTCCATTATGCATGTCATTATCTTCACATACCTTCACATGCATAATGAATTGTCATCATAAGTTGAAGAGGATCTCCACGAGTACAACCTGCCATGTGCATTTGCATTCCAAAAGCAAATTACTTATATGCACATCTTCAGGGGGAGCCCTTGCAACTTATGAAGACAATTCCTTATCCTTTACAACTTCACATATTATATTCCCCGTTGAAAACTTCAACTAGTTTGTCATCAATCACCAAAAAGGGAGAGATTGTAAGTGCATCTAGTGCCACCCCTAGTTGGTTTTGGAGTATTGACGACAAACCTAGTTGAGGGACTAATGTGTTTGTGAGAATTGCAGGATAACACAGGTAGAAGTACCTCATTGATTCGGTTTTCCTACCAGAGATGACCCCTAAAAATGTATGAAGACATTGATGTCAAAGGTGGTATGTGAAGATATTCACATTGAAGACTATGACAAGAGAAGACATCACATGAAGCCTATGGAGCTCGAAGACTCGGATCTTTCGTAGTTCTTTTTCTTCTTTTTTGAGTCATAGGAACCACCGTACTATTAAGTGGGGTCCAAGAGAACCAGTCAGAATGACTGAAGTGATGCTTAACCAAAACCTATGTCTTCGAGTGAAGACTATGAGAGTGAATCTTGTCCAGAGTCGGACAAGTCAGCTTTGCTTGTAGCCCAAGTAAAGTTGTCGTGTGTATTTAAAATCTGACTGTTGGAACACGTGTCGGTTGCTTAGTGACCCAGGGTCATTTCGGACAAATCAGGTCGGGTTGCCTAGTGGCTATAAATAGCCCACCCCTACAACCATAAATGGTTGGCTGCTCAGAGTTAAAGTACAACTTTTGTCGTGTGAGAGCAACCCACCTCGAAGCCTTTGAGAGAGAATTCCTTGCGAGGATAAAGCCCTAACCACCCAGAGCCAAAGAGTGTTAGGCATCACTTAAGTCTTTCTGTCTGTGTGATCTGAAGACTTATTACACTTGAGGACTGTGAATCCTCCAGCCGGTTAGGCGTCGTGTTCTGAGCATCCAAGAGTCATTGTGGATCGCCGGTGAACAAAGTCTATGAAGGTTTGGAGTCTACCTTGAAGACTTACCAGAGTGATTGGGCGAGGTCTGTGTGACCTTAGCTCAAGGGGAATACGGTGAGGACTGGGTGTCCTGAGCTGCGTGTTCAGGACTGGGTGTCCGGGACTGTGTGTCCTCAGATTTAAATACCTAGCCACCCTAACCAGACGTACAGTTATCACAGCAACTGGATCTGGTCTAACAAATCATTGTCTTCAACAAGTCACTGGTTTCATCCTTCCCTTCCCCTTACTTACTGTTGGTCCTTGTGAAGTGATTGTATGATTGCACTATCTTTTGTCTTCACTAAGTGACTGCGTGTTCTGTTTGGCTTCATAATATCTTCCTACCTGATCCTTACTACCTAGCTGCTATTAGTCATTGTGCTTTCACTTCATTAAATACTTGACTATGATTTGCCTAGTGTAGTCTACCTTTCGCTGCATGGTAATAGGTTTATTTCTATTGTTTGTCTTCGAAACTTCTAAGTTTTGAAAACTTTCATAAAAATCGCCTATTCACCCCCCTCTAGTCGATATAACGCACTTTCACCTACGTCCTGCGGAGGGAGGGGCGGCGGTGGCTCATGGAGGGAGCGGCGGCGGCCTACGTCCTACGGAGGAAGGGACGGCGGTGGCTCGTGGAGGGAGCAGCGGCGGCCTACGTCCTGCTGAGGGAGGGGTGGCGGTGGCTCGTGGAGGGAGCGGCGGCGGGCATGCTAGTCGGGTGTGGAGGAAGTATTGGGACCAGCCCGTGGGGAGGGTCTGGGCTGCATGGATGAAGAAAATTGAGGGACTTTTTTGCTTTAAACCCAAACCGTTACACTACGTAAGCAAAAAACAGGGACCCATCTGTTATAAACGCGCTCAAACAACTCTAATCCACCGATCAGTGATTTTTGCAAAAAGATTACTAAAGACATGATACTTTCTGTCAAAAAATATATTGTAGTGGTTTTCACAAAGCTAACCTTCAAACTGATAGTCTTCTGCAATTTACTCGAGAGGGAGTGAAAAAAAGCTCACTAATCTTGAAGCCGAAAACGATCCAACGGACACGGGTGTCGACTGAGACTTTAGTAAAACTTGGTTGACTGACTTTTTGCAAAGTCAATTGTTTTATATAAACCAAAAAAGAACCCCAAATACTTATCAGTGCACCTGCGCTAATTGGGCTTCCGAAGCGCACACGCTATGCGACAAAAAAAATCACATAGCAGACCTGCCATAAAGGGCCGTGTCATTATTACACTAAAAAAGAAACTATTTGGTCCTCATCCCATCCGAACACAAGTCAAGGAAGAAAAAATACGTGCATTTATTTGGGTTTTACAAAATTTAAAAAGCCATAACTTTTGTTTCGAGTATCGGAATTTAGATTCGTTTTCACCATTGGGTTTTTAACGGCGAGTTCTTCAAAACTAGATCCCATATGGGTATATTTCGACGAATTTTTTTTCTGAGCAACTTTGGGTGCTGGAGAGGCAACTTTATTGTTATAGGAAAGCAACTCTTCTTAGTTTGCCTAGTATAATTGTCTTTCAAGGAGAAGTCCTTAATAAGTTGCCTCCCATGACCATGATGTTCACTAAATTCACATATAAGTTGTCTAGCCAACACTATGTTTCAGAGTACATGCAGCATGAGCTACACTGACAGACAACTTGTCCTAGTATCGTAGCCAACTAATTAGTGATGACATGCAAACCAGGCATCATTGTTAGATAAGTAATTATCATTGTCAAATTCTCGTGATTTTTTGGGACAGTTGCCTGGATTCATTTTGAACAGGTTTTTGCATTTGTGTTTTTTGTAATATAGTTGCTTTGTTTTGGTAGACAGTTGCTTGGATTATTTTGCTAGAACAATTTTCATTTTGTGTTTTCTTTGTAATTGACTTGTTTTGGATTTTTGTTAGAATAGATAACAGTTTTGCTAAAGCACATCTAGATGTGCTATAAGTATTGCACATCTAAGTCATATGTCATTGATCTTACATTGAGATTCATGTGAATATTTTCTTTCTCTTTTTTTTTCTTTTTATGCTTTATTCACTCACTTAGATGTGCAATAACTAGAGCACATCTAGATGTGTCCTAGACACACCCAATAGATAAGTTGCATGGGGAGGGAAGGGGGGTAAGATAGCTGTCCACAAAGGATATTCAAGTTGGCCATACGTTTTTTCTGCCTAAAGTAGACAATCTAAGTAGGAATGCTAGGGACAGTTGCTTGGTTTTGCTAGGACATTTTTTTTCATAGTTGTTATTTAGTAATGCAGTTGCTTGAATTGGATGGTACAGTTGCTTGGTTTTGTAGGATAGTTGCTCGGTTATGCTAGAACAATTTTGCATTGTTGTTTGGTAATACATTTGCTTGATTTTGCTATAAACAATTTTGCATTGCGTTTTGGTATTACAATTGCTTGGATTTGCTAGGACAATTGCTTGGATTTTTTGCTAGGAATAGTGGCTTTGGATCTTGCTAGACCAGTTGTGTGGATTTCTGCTAGGGGGGCAGTTGCTTAGAGTCTGCTAGAACAATTGCTATATGCAGATGTATATAGTTGCATACACACACAAGATGAGTTGGACTTGCACACATTTTCTTGATTTTCTCATTTTTACACAAACCAACCAGTAGGAAACACACATGAGTTGCTTGTTGAATGCACTAGAATTGCACGAAAACACCCCAAAAGTTGCTAATTTATTTATGTGATACTCAAGTGCATAACAATATGAAAGTTATTGTCCTTGTTTTGCCTCCAATAGCCCCATCAATGGTGAACTTAGACTTTTACATATGTAGCACTAAAGGTGCATCATGTTGTGTCTGTGGTTTTTTCATTTTTTTACACAAACCAACCTAATAGGCGGTCCTACTGGAAAAAAAAATGAAATTGCTTTTCTATAGCACTAAAGTTGTCTCCATCGTATCCAAAGTTGTCTCAAAAAAAAGTTCAACGAAATCTATCTATATGAGATCTAGTTTCGAAAAACACGTCGCGAGAAAGCCAACTATGAAAACAAAATTGAATTTCTACACTTAAATCAGAAGTTACAGTTTTTTAAACTTTTTGGATCCTTAAATAAATGCATGCGAGGACATGATTTCCTTTTTAGTGAACTGCGTCCGTCCACGTCAACTGTTCTTTTTCATATTTGGATGAGCGCTAATTCCTACTAGTGGGCGCTCGGGCGCCCGCTAGCCATGTCCAAAAAAAACTTTATAAAATTTAACTTAGGCCACAGCTAATACAGAGAATAAATAAAAATGACGAAGTGACACGAGAGGAGTGGAAGAGGAGCGAGGGGCACCTACACAGCTACACGCGCGCGTACTGGTATTAGCTCGCACCTAACTCCAATTAGCTCGCACCAACTCGCGGCCCGGCCAAGCACGCCGCGTGACACACCCAACAGTCAACGGATCGCTGACCCTCACGCCGCGGCGGCGCGGCCCCCTTATATTCTCTGGCTAGCAGCCACAGAGGCCACATCCATCGACTCATGGCGCTGGCGGAAGGCGACGACAAGGCGGAGGCGGGGGTGCGCGTGCTGGGCGGGCGGATGAGCCCGTTCACAATGCGGGCGCGCATGGCGCTGGAGCTGCGCGGGGTCGCGTACGAGCTGCTGGAGGAGAGCTTCGAGCCCCGCAAGAGCGACCGCCTCCTCGCCGCCAACCCCGTCTACAAGAAGATCCCTGTCCTGCTACTCCCCGACGGCCGCGCGGTCTGCGAGTCCGGCGTCATCGCGCAGTACGTCGACGAGGCCTGGCCCGCCGCCTCCGCCGCGCCCCTGCTGCCCGAGGATCCCTACCAGCGCGCGATGCACCGCTTCTGGACCGCGTTCGTCGACGACAGGTTCTGGCCGGCGCTGGACGGCGCCTCCCTGGCGCCCACCCCGGAGGCCCGCGCCGAGGCCGCCGCCGAGGCCCGTGCCGCGCTGCGGCACCTCGAGGAGGCCTTCGCCGCGCTCAGCAACGGCGGGGCCTTCTTCTCCGGCGCGGCGCCGGGGCTCCTCGACATCGCGCTCGGTTGCTTCCTGCCGGCGCTCAGGGCCTGCGAGCGCCTCAGCGGCGCCCTCCTGCTGGACGAGGCCGCCACGCCGCTCCTCAAGAAGTGGAGCGAGAGGTTCGCCGGCGTCCACGCAGTCGAGGCGCTCCTGCCGGAGACCGACGAGGTTGTCGGCTTCACAAGGTTCTTGCAGGCCAAGTTCGGCGTCGCGGGCGCAAATTAAGAGTCGTCGCTGCCAAGTATCCTAAGTGCATATGTATGTTTTTCTCTTTTTCTTAGAAGCATAATACAAACGCACACGCTGCACTAGGCGTATGCATATGTATGTTGATCATGTGTCATGTTATTTTCTTGTGATTAAGATTTATGTACCTGAATCAACATGTGGTTGAATTGTTAGAGGAACTGTGGCATCCCAGCGCACCAGGGGTGCTCGCATTTATTTCAGGATTATTCCACCGAGCTTGGAGCACCACGAATACTCTCTTCATATCCTTCCTAGCACCTTCTCGCGCTTGTGCAAAGAGATAGTATTTCCTACCACGAGGATCCGATATAGTCTTCACAAACGCCACCCATTGAGGATAGATACCATCGGCAAGGTAGTACCACATATTGTAGTTGTGCCGTTGACGGTGTAGTTACACGGCAGAGCTTCCCCCATCACAAAGTCTCTTGAACAAGTCCTTCGATGTCACCGCTTCAAGTATGATGATGACTTCTTTGGTGTGACCTTGATATTGCCTACGCAAATCTTTTAGGCAATTCTTACATTGCCAGTGCATGCAGTCAACTGAATCGAGCATACCTGGGAATCCTCTTCATGCTTCAATTGCCAACAATTTTTCTGTGTCCTTGGTAGTTGGTTCTCTTGGGTACTCTGGTTCAAACACCTTCACCATGGAGCGTGCAAATTCCATCCTGGTCTTCAAGCATGTGCTCTCTTTCTCCAATTGCCAACAATTTTTCTGTGTCCTCCGTAGTTGGTTCTCTTGGGTACTCTGGTTCAAACACCTTCACCATGGAGCGTGCAAATTCCATCCTGGTCTTCAAGCATGTGCTCTCTCTTTCTCTCTCATTGTAACGCCCCGGATACAACTTTTCATATTCGCAACTCCGACCCTTGCCTTTTCCAGAGATGCGATATGAGTTTCCCTTCATGGTTGGGTTTTGTTTTTGTTTTGCATTTTGTTCACGTCATGCATTTCATATCATGTCGTCATGTGCATTGCATTTGTATACGTGTTCGTCTCATGCATCCGAGCATTTTCCCCGTTGTCCGTTTTGCAATCCGACACTCCTACGTCCTACGGCGCCCCCTTTTGTCTCTTTTCGTAAGCGGGTGTTAAACTTTCTCGGAATGGACCTAGATTTGCCAAGCGGCCTTGGTACACCACCGGTAGACCGCCTATCAAGTTTCGTGCCATTTGGAGTCCGTTTGATACTCCAACGGTTAACCGGGAAACCGTAAAGGCCTCATGTGTGTTACAGCCCAACACCCCTCTAAAGTGGCCCAATAGCCCTTGCAAACCCCCTCCATCCTCTTGGCCATTCGATCATGATCGCGTGGCCGAAAACCGCACTCCATTTGGACAATCCTAGCTCCCTCTACCTACATAAACACCCCCCCTCCGAAATTCGCGGTCCAAAACCCTAGCTTCTTCCTCCTTCCGCCGACGGACATGTCCGCATCGCCCTTGCAGCGAATCCGGAGCCGCCACCTGTCCACCGCCGTTGTCCCCGCGCCGCCGGCCCGTGGAGCCAATCGCGGGCCCGCACGGGCCCAAACCGCCGCCGCCGAAGCCCGGATCGGCCCCCACGCTCCGCCGCCCGGGCCTCACCTGCGTCGCCGCCTCGGGCCTCACCGTCGGCCGCCGCCTGCGTGCTCGCCGCCTTGCGTCGGGCCTCGCTGTAACACCCCGTATATAACTTGCCATATTTGTATTCCAACTCTTGCCGTTTCCGACACTAAGTTATGTTATTTCCTCGTTGTCGGGTTTTTGCCTTCGTGTGCTTTTGTCTTTGTCATGCACCTCATATCATGTCATCATGTGCATCACATTTGCATACGTGTTCGTCTCATGCATCCGAGCATTTTCCCCGTTGTCCGTTTTGCATTTCGGCGCTCCTATGTCCTCCGGCGTCCCTTTCTACCTCTTTTCGTGTGCGGGTGTTAAACGTTTTCGGATTGGACCGAGACTTGTCATGCGGCCTTGGTTTACTATCGATAGACCGTCTGTCAAGTTTCATGCCATTTGGACTTCGTTGGATACTCCAACGGTTAACCGAGGGACGGAGAAGGCCTCGTGTGTGTTGCAGTCCAACACCCCTCCAAAGTGGCCCAAAACCCACTTAAACCTCCTCCATCATCTAGATCGTTCAATCACTATCGCGTGGCTAAAAACCGTGCTCAATTTGGAGCCTCCTATCCCCTACCTATAAAAAGGCCTTCTCCCCCCAAATTTCGGGCCATTCCCAACCATAGACCTAGTCCTCTTCCCCTCCGCGCGGCCGGACACGTCCGCCGCCGCCGGACAAAGCCGCCGCCACCCCCGCGCCCAATCAGGGAGTGACACATCATCCCGCCTACCCGCCGCCGCCCGAGGCCCGCGAAGCCAGCTTCGGGCCCCCGCGGCCCATCGCCCGCGCGCCGCCCTCCCCGCGCCTGGCCGCAGCGCCCCGCCGCCCGCTCCCTCCTCTGCTTCGGTCAGCATCGGCCGGCGCCGCCGCACGCCATCGCCGGACGCCGCACCCTCAACTCCGGCGCCACGCCCACGGTCGCCATCGCCACCTCGCCGCCCGACGCTCCGGCGAGCTCCTCCGCCGGCCTCCTTCTTCCGGCGACCACTCCTTCTTCTCCCACGAGTTCCAGCACCGTCCCCGGTGAACAGTGACTCCGGCCGGCGAACCTCGGGTCGCGAGATGCTACAGTAACCGATCCAGATCTGGATCTCGGGTTGACTTTTGACCTAATTTTCCAGTATTTTTTGCATATTTCAACGCATCATAACTCATCAACCGTGGTTCCATTTTGGGCGTGTAGCATATCGCAATGTTCATCTCGACGAGTACTTCATTTCATCTCATTGCATCATGTTCATTTGAGCTCATCTTGATGCCCTAAATGCTGTTGGAAGAGTGCTAGTTTTTGTTAGTTTCAGATTCATATCAGTAATTGGACATTTGTCATTTTTGCCATGATTATTGTGTGCCCCTTCTGAACTTGAGCTCTACATGTGTTTTGAAGTATGCCATGCCATCTTTACAGGGGTGTATGCCATGTATTTTTGTGATCTCTGTGGTGACTAGCACATGCATGCAAAGTAGCCCTCTCAATGTTGCTGATTTCAGGGACTTAGAAATATTCTAAGTCATTGCTCTGTTAATATTTTATGCCATGTGTTCTTGTTGCTACCGAGTGATCTATGCCTCTTTTGAGCATGATCAGTAAGGATGTTTTGTAGACATTGTGGTGCTCTATCCATCCATGTCTTTGTTTTCAATTATGGAGCATCCTAGCTTGAGTCAATCTAGCTCTACTTTTGCTATAAAATGTTCCTGGCAAAATGTTTACATGTTAAGCATTTTTGCCGAGCTTGTTGTAGTTGATCCATGCATGCTATGTTGTTGTTCTTGCCATGTTTAGCTTCTAAGCCATGTCTACTTGCTGGGTGTATGCTTAGTTTGTCATGCAATGCTTTGCGGTGAGTGCATCGAGCTCGTAAACATGCCTACTTGATATCTGTTTTGCCATGTTTCAGTTTTCTACTAAGTCTGAATCTGTTAACGATAATTGCTATGTTCACATGGTTGCCATTGTATTTTATGATCCCTTTTGGCTTATGGTCAGTAAGGGACTTTTATTTTATGCTTTGAGTAGCTTCATGCCATGCCTTGCTTTGCCATGATATGTTCCTGTAGCATTTCGTTACCTTACTCTAAACATTGCTTCCTGATGTTAAATTCCTGACTTGGTGTTATTTTCACCAAGTCTGTAACCTGATATCTTTTGCACTTTTGCCATGCTTGTTTGAACCTGCTAATGAGTGAATTAGCCGTAGCTCAGTGTTCATCTTTTGTCAAGCATCTTGAGTGGATCCCTTCCATGTATTTTGTTGTTATGTTAGAGTGCTGTAGCATGTTGTTCTTGATGCATTTAGATGGCCTCGTGCTGTTAATCGTAGATCGGTGCCATATTTGTTTTGCTTGCCATTTGCAAACCGTGCATCCGATACCGGTGATCTTTATATCGATTTCGACCGAAATCAACTCCTATTTCCAGTGGCACTCTTGGTTTTCCAAGTTGAGGCCAGGTTCAATCATTCCTTTCCGAATCATGCATATGCATCGCATACCGCATCCCGCATCTCATGACATGTTTTGCATCATGTTGTTTGTGCATTGTACGTGGTTGATTGTGTCTCCCCTTGCTTGTTGTTCTTGCTTGGGTAGAGCCGGGAGACGAGTACGTGATCGAGGAGCCCGTTGAGTCCGTTTACGGGGATCAAGCTAACGTCAACTCGGAGAACTTTGCAGGCAAGATGACCATACCCTCGAAATCACTTCTATCTTTGCTTGCTAGATGCTCGCTCTATTGCTATGCCTATGCTACGATACCTACCACTTGCTTATCCTGCCTCCCATATTGCCATGTCAAACCTCTAACCCACCTTGTCCTAGCAAACCGTTGTTTGGCTATGTTACCGCTTTGCTCAGCCCCTCTTATAGCGTTGCTAGTTGTAGGTGAAGATTGGAGTTTGTTCCTTGTTGGAACATGTTCATTGTTGGGATATCATTATTATATCTTGTCTATTTTTAACACACCTATATACTTGGTAAAGGGTGGAAGGCTCGACCTTATGCCTGGTGTTTTGTTCCACTCTTGCCACCCTAGTTTTTGTCATACCGGTGTTATGTTCCTTGATTTTGTGTTCCTTACACGGTTGGGTTATAATGGGAACCCCTTGACAGTTCGCCTTGAATAAAACTCCTCCAGCAAGGCCCAACCTGGTTTTACCATTCGCCACCTAGCCTTTTTCCCTTGGGTTTCGTGGACTCAAGGGTCATCTTTATTTTAAACCCCCGGGCCAGTGCTTCTCTAAGTGTTGGTCCAACCCAGAGCATCGTGCGGGGCCGTCCCTTGGCAACTTGGGTTACGTTGGCTTCTGTACGCTTAGCTTATCCGGTGTGCCCTGAGAACGAGATATGTGCAGCTCCTATCGG